TTATTATTGTTGTTGTTATTATTGTTGTTGTTGTCGTTGGTGGTGGTGGTGGCTGTAGTGATGGTGGTCGCGATAGCAGCTTTGTTTTTGATGGTGTCGTTGATGTTTTTTGGCCATCACTTGTAGCATTTGAAAAGGTTATTCACGATTTAATCATCATCATCATCAGCAGCAGCAGCAGTAACAGCAGCAGCTGCTGCAACAGTAGCAGCGTAATTATTCTCATTATCATCGTCGTCGTCGTCATCATCTTCATCATCATTATTAGTTTTTTATTTTTATCATCATCACCATCTTCACAGCAATCATTACAAATCTTTTTGAATACATGTGTATGTGTGTGTTTGTATGTATGTATGCATGTATGTGTGTATGAATGTATGAATGTACGGTATGTATGGAAAAGACAAATAAATGAATGAATGAACGAAAGAATGAACAAATTAAGGAAGAAAACATATATTTTTGATGCATTTTTTGTATCTATAAATCCATTCATTCATTTGGCTTATCAAACGTTTGATTATTTTAATTCTTCCTCACATGAATTAATGAATTAATGAGTGAATAAATAAATGAATGAGTTAATAAATTAATAAATGAACGAACGAATAAATGATTGAACGAACGAATGAATGAACGAACGAATGAACGAACGAATAAATGAATGAACGAATAAATGAATGAACGAATGAATGACCGAATGAATCAACGAATGAATCAACGAATGAATCAACGAATGATTGTAGTGCGCGCTCGACGAATAAAAAACAGCGGGTTATGAATGAATGATAAAATGAATGAGTGAGTGAATGAGTGAATGAATGAATGAATGAATGAATGAATGAATGAATGAATGAATGAATGAATGAATGAACGAATGAATGAACGAATGAATGAACGAATGAATGAACGAATGAATGTAGTGCGCGCTCGACGAATAAAAAACAGCGGGTTATTAAAAATATTTCCTCCTCCACGCTTCAAATGCAATGGTGAGAACGACGATGGTGATGATGATGATGGTGATGATAACGACGATGATGATGATGGTGATGATGATGGTGATGATGATGGTGATGATGATGAGTGATGATGACGATGGTGATGATGATGTCACTGGTAATGATGATGATGTTGTTGTCAACGGGTTTGCTTTTTATGCTGCCAATGAAGTAGATCTTTTTGTCGCATTGATGGATTCTAACCACCATCACAATCACCACCATCATCATCATCTTCATAACTACCACCACCATCATCATCCTCCTCATCATCATCATCATCATCATCATCATCATCATCATCATCATCATCATAACTACCGTCATCATCACCCTCCTAGCAGGTATGTTTGACGCGATGTCATATATTGTTTTATGGGACATCACATTGACTGATCGCTTCAATCATTTGTCTATGTATGTATGCATGTATGTATGTATGTATGTATGTTTGTTTGTATGTATGTATGTATGTTTGCATGTATGTATGTATGTATGCATGTATGTATTGTATATGTATGTAATTTTATTAAACATCGATTTTTTGCATGCATTGTGACATTACAAATGTCACATTTGCATATTTGTTTGTATGTATGCATGCAAGTAGGTATGAATATATGTATGTTTGTATGTATGTATGCATGCATGTATGTTTGTATGTCATATTGTAACAGCCAGTTCAACTTTCCTCAAAGAAAAGTTGCGATTTTAATGAATAGGAAAATTTATGACCGGTGTCATGTCAAACGAATATGCTTGTTTGTTTGTATATATGTTTGTATGTATGTATGTATGTATGTATGTATGTATGTATGAATGTATGTATGTATGTATGTATGTATGTATGTATGTATGTATGTATGTATGTATGTATGTATGTATGTATGTATGTATGTATGTATGTATGTATGTATGTATGTATGTATGTATGTATGTATGTATGTAATGTAATGTACATTTATGCTTGCACAATCTAACTAATCTACTACCGCTACTGCTATTACAAACGCCACTTCGGTTACTACAACTAGTGCTACTGCTACTACTACTGCTACTACTACTACTGCTATTACTACTACTACGACTGCTACTACTACTTTGAGACACAAATGGTCGAATTAGTGTTCGAACGCGTATAAAATATAAGTAGTGATTTTTGAGGATGCATCTGTGTGTTCGTGTGTGTGTGTTGGTGCTTTTGTTTGTGTGTGTGTATGTGTGTATGTGTATATGTTTGTGTGTGTGTGTGTGTGTGTATGTTTGTGTGCTG